CCGCCCCCCACAGCTCCCACCTCCTGGGGCCAAAGCCCAAGTCCTCCTTGCAGCCCACAGGGGCCAAAACAGCCGCTGGTTCCTTGCCCGCTGCCCTACCTCCCTCTCTGCCCTGGCTTTTTCTGCTCCAGCCACACCAGCTCCTTTCTGCTCCTACACTGCTCCGGGCTGCGCTGCCCCAGGGCCTCTGCACAGCTGTGCCTTCCGCCGGGACACCCTCCCTCCAGGTCTGCCCCTGCTTCCTCCTTAATCTTTCTGGGCTGCTCAGCACCCACTTTTCTGCTCCGCTGCTAACTTTTCTCCCTCTACACGTCAAGTTGCTGTCACCTCGTGTATATGTTGTCTGTCTTGTCTGCTAGATTATGAGCCCCACGCGGGAAGGGCGGTTTGTCCCTGCTGTGTCCTGGTGCCCAGGCTGGGCTGTGTCAGCACATCATTTCTGTGCATACAGGAACTGCGGTTCCCACTTCCCACTGTCCATCTGATCAAGGTTCTTGGCACTTGGGCCGGGTGGGTGTGGGATACTGAGACCAGGCTGGGTGTCAGGGACACACAGTAGAGCCAAGGCAGCCCCTATCCACGCCATGGGAGAACTGTACTAACTCAGAATCACCAGTGCAGGAGGAGACAGAGCTCCTTGGTGGACAGCAGCCATCAGTTAAATACAGGTCTCAATATTCGCTCCATTCCTCCCTGACTGCCCAGCCCCGCCAGGCCAGGTGATGCCAGAGGGTGAGAGGGCAGGAAAACCTTGAAGGGAGAGGGGACGAGTTCCTCAGTGGGCTGAGTGCTATCTTGTCTTCCTGTGGGGGCTGGACACAGAAGGGCCCTGCCTGAGCCTCAGTTTCCCCACCCGAGAGGCAGGCAGCCCAGATGACCTGCTCTGTTCTCTGCAGGCAGAGGCAGCCACTCCAAGCTGCCCACCTTGTGCAAGGAGAAGGTCCTCACGCAGAAGGTGGCCAGCTCGATGGTGTCCAGCAGGGTGACCTGGATGAAGCCGTAGGTCTCCGTGCCCCGGTTGGGCCAGTACTGGTCACACTTGATCTGCACCATGCATGAGAGAGGGCGTCAGCCAGGGCCGGGCTGGCCGGGGCTGAGTGCAGGGTCAGGGCCTCACCCGTGACTTCTCCTCCAGCCGCGTCATCATGACAATGGTGGCTGACCGCTGTTCCCACACCATCCGCCAGAAGTCCCCGAAAGTCTCGGGCAGGGGCCCCTGCGTGGCGATGTACGCATTCTGCCGCCGGTAGCCGTCCACATAGTTGGCATTGATGTAATCGCTGCCCATGATGCCTGTGGCCGGAGCAAGAAGCCAGGGACCCGTGGGGCTTGCAGTCTTGGGTGGACAGAGACAGCCCAGCAATTCCTGGAAGCTCCCCGATGGCCCCAGGCACGTCCCCAGTGCCACTGTGGGGCATGTACATCACGGGTTCTCCACTCTGGCACCACAGCCATTTGGGGCCAGCTCTCTGTCTATGGTGGAGCTGTTCTGCATGCCGCGGGCTATCAGGGGAACTTTGGTCTCCAGCCATTTAATACTACTTTACTTGATTCCCTTTTCCAAAAACATCTTTGAGCATTGCTACATCTCAGGCAGCAGAGCTTCTCTGATTGAGAAGCATGATATAGAGGAACAGATGGAGCCACGTCAGGGACAGCAGCCATCAGTTAATCATGGACAGCAGGCATTAGTTAAATACACAGCCAAACCGGGCTGGGGATTTAGCTCAGTGGTGCTGCCATTGGCCTCACAAGCACAAGGACCCGAGTTTGATCCCCGGTACCAAACAAAACAAAAACAAAAACCACCAAAAACACCAGCAGCCTCCAGCTGCAGCTGGACCAGGCTTACGACCAGAATCGGGCCTCCTGAGGGAGGGCACGAGGGAGCCTGACTCTCCTCACACTACCTTCGATGGGCTGGAGGATGACGCGAGAGTGGTCGTAGGCGATGACGTTGGCGTAGCGGTTTTTGGGCTTGTTCACCTCCAGGTTGGAATGCTCCCACGTGAACTGCTGCCCCGGGTCGATGGACTGCGGAGCGGAGGGAGAGGTGAGGTGCTCGGTGTCAGGGCGGGGACGAAGACGGACCGTGGAGGTGGGCGGTGGGCTTACCTCGTACTCCTGGGACAGCTTGAGGCTGTCGTTGGCTTTGAGGCGCTCCGTGTGTTCTGCCATGTCCGCAATGGGTATGGGCGGGTGGCTGAGCATGCCTGCAGGGACAGCAGAGCCCGCAGGTCAGCGGGGTGGCCTGGGGCACGGGGTGCTCACTGTGAGTCTGCGGGGCGGGGCGGGCGCGCTGCGGTTAGAAGGGGGGGGGCTGGGCTCAGCAGGGGGGTGCTCTCGACAGGGTGCTTGTCCCCCCAACCCCTGGGGCGCAGGGGCTGGACCAAGGGTCCTCTGGACAAGGCCAAGCCCCTGGTGCGTTTTGGCGAGGTGCGGCTGGTGGTGCGGTGGGCACTGTCCCCTCTCCAGAGAAGAGACACGGGCGTTCCCCCGCTGAGTGGAGGGGGCGCGTGTGCTGTGTACAGCGTCCCGTCCCTGTGCTGGGTGCAGGGCAGGCACCGGAAGCCCGAGTCTGCAGCCCAGGGCAGGAGCTCACAGAGCTGTCCGGCCACACCCACTGTACTGCGCCTGGCCCGAGCGGCCTGCCTGGCACACGGCTCCCTTGCCCGTCGCACACGAATCCACCCAGGGCCCTAACCCGCCCTCCTCCAGGTGCCAGCGTGGGATGGGAGGGTGGGCACGGACAGACAGGAGGCAGATGGAGACCGAGACAGAACCGACGGGGCGGGGAAAGGAAGCCAAGCACAGAGACACAGGAACTAACTTTCCGAGTGAAACCCCGGCTCCCTGAGGGGGCTGCTGAGGCCCAGGTCTGCAGAGAAGCAAACAATAAATCATGAGCACACACAGGGCCACCGCCCCACCCTCGCCGGCCACAGGAGGAGGGCGGAGCCGCTCACATGACGGGGCCTGGCCAAGAACTAGGGCTCCGCGGGGCACCTGTCCACACGCCCCCTCCCAGACCAGCCTGGCCTCGGGCTCCCCGCAGGGGCCGGAAGAGAGGGTGGAGGCTGGGTGCCATGACACGCGGGCCCATGCCATGGGCTCTGGGGAGGACAGCAGCCAGCAGTTAAGACACGCGTCGGGAAGCCTCCTGCAGCGAGCAGAGCTGGCAGCAGCTGCTCCCTGTCAGAGAAGCCAGGGGGAGGCAGTGGGGATGGTGCGGGCCGCCAGGAGACCGCGGCCATCAGGTAGACACACGTTATTCAAAACCCTCGTTCGGATGAAAACTGCAGTGACACAAGTCAGCCCAGAGATTCGACAGAGGAAAAGACACAGTGGGATGGGATGAGACCCTGCCTGGCCCTTTCCGGACTGCAGCCGTCAGTTAAATACAATGGTCATGATCTTCGGTGAGGGGGAGACAGAAGAGACGTGAGCCAGGCCAGAGGGGAGAGAGATGAACAAGAAGGGTGATCAGTGAGCCCCTGGGTGACGCCTTTTCAGGAGAACAGCGGCCATCGGTTAAATGCAAATAGTCTGCCCGTGATGTGGATGAACAGAGGAGTGACACGAGTCAGGGCAGAGACAGGAAAGAGCAGACGTCAGGAATGGCAAGGGGGTGTGCGGGATCCCTACCGGGAGGACTGCAGCCATCAGTTAAACAGCAATGCTTAAAGTTCCCTACGGTCGGGAGGGCAGTGGATGCGAGCCAGTGAGGGCACAGAGGTGACCGTGCCGTGAGCCCAGGGGGAGAATGGCAGCTGTCAGTTAAAGGAATTCCTTATTTGGTTAGAAGCAGCCGGCATGAGCCCACTGAGTGGGGAGGTGAGGGGGTCCGGGAAGGCCACATGTGGATGGGTCTGCTGGGCTCTGCCGCCAGGGACGGCAGGTGACCAGGGCAGGGAGGGCGGGGGGAGCTGCAGGGCGAGGTGTGCGGTGCCTTAGGTCTGTGCCTCTCCTAAGGCCAGCACGGGAGACAGCCACTCCCCTCAGCGGCTCGGAGCAGGGCTGTGGCAGAGCGACACCTCCCACACACCTCTGTTCCTGCTCCCGAAGCCCACACCCCTCAGTTAAGAGCAGCTGTAAACAGCCTCTGCGGTCACGGGCAGAATCCCCGCCAGAGCGGGAGGCACTGGGAGTCGGGAGCCCCGCGCTGCGCGTACCTGGGGTCTGGAAGTTAATGCGCCTCATTTCCACAGGGTCCTTGGGGTGGTGGGGCGCGAGGTCGGCGTTGTTTAGCAGGCATTTGGTGCGGGGCTCAGAGTCCTTGCGTTTGCTTTGTGGGGAGCAAGTGCAGCAGTCGGCTGAGAACCCGCGACCCAGAGTCCCAGGCAGACGCGCAGCCTGGGCCCAGGGATGCAGGGAGGGAGGGGCGTGGGCGCGCACGGCTGGGTTTCTAGGACTCCCTGCCCTGCAGCCCCAGGGGTGGGGCCCCTACCTACCTGTCAGGTTTGCTGCTCCCGGGCAGACACAGGTGCAAAGGGAGAGAAGAAGAGGGGTGAGGGCCCGACCGGGACTGGGGCTGGAGGAACGCTGCTGTGCTCCATCCCCAGCTCTTTTCTATTTTAAGACAGTGTCTGACACAGGCCTCTAGTGCCAGAGCTTGGTTTGACCTTGAGATCCTCCTGCCTCAGCCTCCCGGGGTGCCAAGATCTGGGCCACCCCTACTCGACCCCGCGGTACACACACGGCCCCCACCCCAACCCTGCGGAGCTGAGGGAAAGGCGGTGTGGCCTGAGTGGACGCCCAGCCCGCTCCCAGGCTGTGTGGCCCGGCCCCTGAGCCCTGGGGGTGCCGGGGCGGGTGCAGGGCTCACTTCTTGTACAGCAGGATGGCGATGACGATGCAGATGATGAAGACCACAGCCAGCACCGGCCCGATCACCCAGATGAGCCCCTCCTCGCCGTCCACGATGGGCTGGGGGTCGGGGTTGTCCAGCTGGAAGGGGTCTGAGAAGGGACTGGCCGCGAACGTCTGCAGGGGTGGGGGCCATCAGTGCTCGGCCCCTCAGACACCAGCCGTGCCAGCTGGCTCTCCGCCCTCCCGGGCTCCCAAGGACTCCAAGTGGCCCAGTCGCCACCTATCTTTGCTGTCCCCACTCCCTCCTCCCCCTCAGCCACGCTGAAGTCCTTTCTGTTCCTCTTGCTCCTCCATTTTTGTACAAGCAAATCTGGGGCTGCCTTTCTAGCTGAGCTCCTACATTTTCCTCAAAGCCCCAGCTGTAAGAACCCTTCATCCAAGAACTTCCTTTCCAGACAGATGGACCACACTCAGGACTTACAGGCTCACTCTTCTGTAGCACGGCGAGCACAAAGAGGACGTATCGGTGGCCAGGCTCCAGGCCCCGGTTGTCAAAACCACCGTATTGCTTCTGGTCCCCAGGATGGAACACTTGGGGCAGCGCGGAGAAGCGGGCGGCGATGTAGGGACGCGGCACCTCCAGCTGGCGCGAATGCCGCAGGCTCCTCCTCTGCAGCCTCGAGATGTCCTGAATGAGCTGTGGGAGTGGAGGGTGGGGGCTCAGAGCTCAGCTGGGCGCATGGGGCCCTGGAGTCGGCTGCGGGCCTCACCTCCTCCAGATCCATGTCCTCGGGGCTGCCCAGTGGTGGGAGGAACTGGCCTCCGCGAGACCTGCGCAGTGGCACCATCACAATGAAGTAGTTTCTGTTGGGAGACAGGAGAGTCACGGGGCTGTTGCGCCCCGGCCCCCAGCCCCTCAACCACATCTAACCAAGTTCCCAATCCAAGCTGCAGACTTTGATCACAGCGCATCTTCTGTCTAAAAGAGTTACCTCGGGTACCTCTAAGTTCTCAAACTCCTATACATCCTTTAAAGCCCCAGATCCAATACCCACCTAGTTTTGTAACCCTGGGTTCTCTTTTGAGCAGAGCCTCCCCCTCCCCCCTGGGGACTCCCGGCTCTGTCTCCCACCAAGGGTTCTGGGAAAGTGGGAGTGGGGCAAGCGTACTGCACAGGCACGGGACTCTGGCCGTCGGGCAGGTACACCACGATGTAGCCGTCGGGGTCAGGTTTGGGGGAGACACCAGGCTTGCCGCTGAGCATGTTGAAGGCCGTCCAGGCAGTGACCGTCTGCTGGAGGCCACCTAGGCTGCTGCCGCGGTTGGTCAGCACAAAGTTGTAGAAGGTGTGCGGCTTGAGGTGTGTGATGAGCCGTTTGGTGGTGCGGCCATCCACGTCCAGGGTCAGCCCGTTGTACTGGATCTATGGGTCAGGCCAGGCCAGGCCAGCTCAGTGGGGCTGAGGTACTGGCCTCAGACTGAGGTGTGGCTGAGTACCGATCCCACACGGATCCCTGATCCCTGCTGGTCTGATTAAACCCAGATTAAACCTCAGTCCCAAGTGAGACCCAAACTCGATTGGTCCTGGTCCCAGACTGACCCCCTTGGTCTCAGACTGGGCAACAAACCCAGGCTCAACCTCAACCTGGACAGAGCCCTGGTCTCAGATTCGGAGCAGCAACCCCAGACTGAACCAAATGAGCCCCAGTCCTAGACAGAGCCCCAAGTGAATCCAAATTCTCACCAAGCCTTGATCCAGGACCCCAAGTCTTTCTTTGGCACCAACCAGACTGAACCTGATCCCACAGCCCCGAGTCTGACTGAGCTCTGGTACCCCAGATTCAGCAGGAACCCCAGGATAAGTCAACTCCAGGCAGAGCCCTTACCTTAGTGTCCCACCCGTGCAGACTGAGCCCCGGCCCCAGCCCAGCCCTGATCTCCCCCAGTTAGCAGCAGCACCCCACACTCAACTCTGGTCCCAAGCAGAGCCCCGACTCTAAGCCCTGAGCCTCAATCCCAGCTCAGCCCCGTGTCTTCCTAAGCCCTAACCCTGGGTGAGCACCGATCCCTCAGATTTAGCAGCAGCGCAGCCAGATCCCCAACTTCCTGACTGAGCCTCGATCCCAGGCTGAGTCTTGTGAGACGGATCCCGGACTTAGTGCCAACCCCAAACTCCGCTTCAAGCCAGGCTGAGCCCTGCCCCTGCCCGGCGGCCTCACCTTGTAGGGTGTGGGTGAGTTATAGTTATCAGGGAACTCCCAGCTGAGCAGCACTGAGGTCTTCATGATCATCTTCACCTTGAAGTTCTTGGGCGAGACTGCAGGCAGCATGGCAGGAGAGCGGGGAGAAAGCAGAAGAGGGCCCCGTGAGCATGGGCACGGGCGGCACGGGGCGGCCCAGACGCTCCCTGTCATGGCTGTGCCCACGGCCTTCCTGCCTGGCCCTGGCCTGGCCCTGCCTTCCCTGTCCCAGGTCCCTGCTGCGGGAGACGGCGCAGGCTGCAGAGAGAAGGTGCAGGAGGAGGAGCGGGGGTGGCGGTGGGGGCGGCGTGGCCACCACCAGGCACGTCCCACCTTTACCAGCGCCGGAGGGAGCCTCGGTCCGGACTCTGCCTTGAGTGTCCACAGGAAGCAGAAAAGCGGCACTTACCGGGGGGGGAGGGGGGCGGGGTCCGGCTGTGAGGCGGGGTGGCCGCGCCTTCCTTGGTCCCGCAGGAACGTGCGGTAGCGGACAGGGGGGCTGTAGGGGCCGGGGCCCCGGCGCGTGTGGGCTCGCACTTGCAGATCATAGGCCACGTCGGGCTTGAGGCCTCGCAGCGTGAGCGTGTTCTCCGCCCCAGGCTCGGCCGCCGCGGGCAGCTCTGTCTCTCGGGGGGGCCCTAAGGCGCCGGCCTCCCGCACGGCCACCGTGTACTTGACGATGACCCCGTTGCGCTCGGCGGGCCCGGGCGGCAGCCAGCGGAGCAGGACGGTGCCCGCCGAGGCGTTGCCGGCCGCCTCCAGGATCTGCGGGTGGCCTCGCGGCGCGTCCTCGGGGATGCTCAGGACCTCGGCCGCCTCCTCGCCCAGGCCGCCCCGGCTGCGCGCTGCCAGCCGGAACACGTAGGTGGCCCCCTTGTGCACGCCCGCCGCCGTGTAGTGGTCCTCGGAGGCCGGGAACTCCAGTGTGGCCAGCGGCGTCGCGTCCTCGCGGCCGAACTGCAGGCGGTAGCCCAGCACCTGGTCCTCGGCGGGGACGCCGGGCGGCGGCTCCCAGCGCGCCAGGAGGCTGCCCTCCGAGGTCTGCTGCACCGTGAGGGTGGGGCGGCCCAGCACTGCGGGACAGGACGGGATGGGGTCGGCAACGGCGGCTGCCACGAGCCCCACCCCAGCCCTTCTCTCTTTCTGGGACAGGATTTTGCTGTGTTCCTCGGGCTGGCCTTGAACTCCTGGGCGCAGGCAGTTCTTCTGCCTCAGCTTCCCACGGAGTGGAACTGTAGGTAGGGGCTAGGAGCTTGCAGCATCTTTCCCTAGTACTGGGGATGGGGCCTGGGGGCACTCTGCCACTCAGCCCCATCCCCAGCCCTCTTTTCATTCTGAGACAGGGTCTCGCCATCCTCCTGCCTCAGCCTCCTGAGCATCGGGGCACTAGGGGGTTCCGCTTTCTGAACATGCACGACAGGAAGGAGCTGCAGGGAGAGCTGGGAGCAGTGAGGACAGCGTCCCTGGGGTGGGGCCATGCGGGGCCAGGGCAGGGCTGAGGCCGAGTCTGGCTCTGCAAACATTCATGGCACTTAAGCCATGTCTCACTTCCTGTTTGCCTAGTGGCTCTCAGCTTCTGATCCATACCCAGGAGACACAGCAGTGTCCCAAACTGTCCTTGCTCTGTGGTTCTCAGCCTGTGCAGTCACCCACACACCACAGGGGCTCGGGGAGCAGGGATGCCAGCTTGACATGCATAGCCAGGTGTTACACTGCAGGACTCATCAGGGCCTTGAAAGGACTGTGACTGCCAGGAACGCCCAGGGCAGTGGGCTCTATCTGGACAGCGTCCCTTGGCTGACATGTGCAGGGTGGGGAGGACACAGCGGGCTGGGAAAGGGGTCCTGGCAGAGGGAACGGCCCAGGTGAAGCCCACGAGGACACAGTGTTAAAAGGGTTTCTGTGTGGTGGAGGCTAAGCTGGGAAGGATGGCGGGGCCATGCTGGGCCCTTCTGAGCAGCTCGCACACCTGTGGTCTCACTGGCCCCCTGCCTGCTCCATTGTCTCCTCACACAGCCTCAAAGACTCTGAGGGACCTCTGGTCCTCGGGGGGCAAAGTGGCTGCAGGTGATGAGCAGTTTCATACCTGCTCCCTTGGTCACCACCACCTTGGGTTTGCTGCGAGCGCCATCGCCTTTCATAGTATAGGCAGCTACTGTGATGGAGTACGCGGTCTCAGGCTCAAGGTTTGTGATGACCATTTCCTATGGGCCAGGGTGTGGGTCAGGGCGGGACGGGGCTAGCCCTGCCCACCCTGTCCCCACGACGAGGTCAAGCAGGGAGGGACAGGGTCCAGCACACGAGCCCATGCAGAGACTGTGGCGCATAACCATGCTCAAGGGGGCACATGCAGCCTGTGCCAACCCTGTCTGCTGGGTACCCACAGCCTCCAGAGGGCACTGTGAGCAACAAGTCTGGTCTCTGCCCTCAGCCCTCCCACAGGGCCCTGCGTGCCCCACCCCGCTAGCCTCCTTGCTGCTCCTCTACCAAGCCAAGCTCCATCCTGCCCCAGGATCTTTGCACAGCTGTGCCATCTACTTCTACCCCCTCTGGTGTGTTGCAGATGCCCTTTCCCACTCACGAGGCCCACCAGCTATATTTCCAGAGATTTTGCAAAGCAAATATCAAACACAGCTATTACTAAATATTAAATTGTGTAAACCTATTTGTGTTTTTTAAAAGGCCACAAGTACTCATTTCTCCCACTCGTTTCACTGTGCTTACTACCACTACTTCCCGAGTCTGTGCTCTGCTGTCCACGTGTGGTGGAAACAGAGGTGGAGAGAAGTTGCACAGTGCAGCTCACAGCAGGTCATCCATGCCTTGGAAATCCGGCAGTGCTAAATGGGGATGGTCACCTGCCCAGAGAGCTGGCTTTTAAAATTTATTAACTTTTTTTTCTTTCATACTGGCAATCGAACCCAGACTCTTTGCACTGAGCTCCATCCCAGCCCTTTCCATTATCTGAGAGAAGGTCTCACTAAATCACTAAACTGCCCAAGGTGGGTGCAAATTTTTGATCCTCCCGCTTCAGCCTCCCAGAGCGCTGGGACAGCGGATGTGCACCACCCAGAGAGCAGACTTCTCCACGCTTCCAGCACTGTCCCCCCGCGTCGTGTTCATCTACGCCCCTCTGACCCCTCTGGGACTGTGACCTCCCAGGACAGAGGGACCCGGTCAGACTCGGTCAGCACCGCCGAGTCCCCAGGTCGAAGCGTGCACACCAACAGCATGCTGGGAGTGGGGGCTTGGGTCGGGCGCGGGGCGGGGTGCTCGGGCAGAGGGTCTCCAGCCC